GGCCGCAGCCCAGCCAGCCTCTGACTCCACAGGTGTCTGGACCCCTGCTGGCCCGGCCTGGCCCTGCTGTGCTGGCCAGAGGGGTGGCCGGCCGGGGCTGTGGGAGGACCTCGGGGCGCAGAGCTGGCCGCCTGCGGCCACCCCACCTTGCGATGCTTTGCTTGTGGGCTGGCGGCCTGGGCAGGTGCTGGCCAGCTGCCCGCCCTCGGACCCAGGGGCGCTGCCCGGCCTGTGCCGAGTGGCTTCTCCCGCAGGGCTGCGGTGGTGGGGACCAGCCCAGACCCGAGTCCTGAGGGCCCCGGCCCGCCCGCCCGGCGGCACCTGCACCTGCCGCCACCCCGGCCTGGGCCTCGCCTGTCCTGGGGACCCCGGCCGGGCCCTGGTGGGCAGCTGGGGGCCGGCTGGCAGCTGCCGTGGGGGAGCTTCCACTGACGAGGGGCCCTCTCGCCGCAGGCAGCCAGCCGGCCGCGCTCGGGCTCGCCAGGTCACTGCCCACCAGCTCACGCTCAGTGGCTGGCCCCTCGGGCTTCACACGTGGCTTGTGGGCCAGCGGGAAACCAGAGCTTCGAGGCCGCGGCCGCCCTCGCTGGTGTCTGCGGTGTCTGGGGCTGCCCGGCATCCTGCTTTGCTCTGTCTGGTCCTGGCCACCTCGGGGACCTGCTGTCCCCATGCGTCCCTGTGTCTTGTGCCGTCGGCCCATGGCGCCGGCTCCCGGAGGGCGGCCCTGGCCCCGCTTCCCGCCCACGCGGAGCCGCGTAGTGGGCGGGTGGGCTGACCCACGGCCCCGGGCCCACCCCAGGCAGTGCTGGGCCCGGGTGATGTCCCGGTGCCCGCCCCTTGGGACCCCCCCTGCATGCCTGCAGGGTCTCTGCGGGGGGGCTCCCCTCTGCCTGCCGTGGGGGCGCCGGCTGAGCTGTGCAGGCATTGACCAGTGGGGGTGGGGTCTGCTGCAGCCTCACTGCAGCGTGCTCTGCTCCGCGGGGAGCACCTCTGAGCACCCCAGGACGCAGACCACCTGCAGCTGAGAGGAGACTTGGCTTCTGGACTGTCT